TTCATGTCAAAAAAAGTAACGATAGTTTGCTTTTCAGATTTTAAATTGTTTTGAACATTTCGCTGATATTTGCACCACCACTACAGTCTGAGTTCTTTTTGAGGTGACTTTTTTTAAGCTTTTTTCCTATTGTAGAAGGAACTGTGCAATTGATTGGCAGAGAGATTGAACTGTTCAGCTGATTGTTTTGATTCAATTCATGAAATTTTCTTTTTTTTTGTAGAAATTGTATTTCTTTTTGCTCATTTTCATCTGTAATCTGGTTTTGCAATAAGACACAATTTTATGGTACAGCTAAGGACTTGAAATTAATTCGATGCCTTCTGTAAGCTCACCAACATTTATTTCAATTTTACATTTTCAGAACAATAATTTTTCGTATTAGCTTAGTAACCTTTTTATCAATCATTTACAAATCTTTTTTGATTTTTTCTCAATTTTTCTCAACTTTTAATTTTTTCTCAATTAGTCGAATTTGGTTTTTTTATCTGTAGTTAATTCAGCAGCGAATAACTTAACTTTTGTCTGTTTGATTTAAAATTTTCCAATTTTTTTTCTCAATGCCGTTTCTACAATGCTTGTTATAATCACTTATAGCTTTAAAGAACTGAATCCATAATTGTAACGCGGAGTTTTTTGTTTCGCAGGTAATTGTAGGCTCTCTGGGGTGCAAAAAATCAAAGTAACCTAGTAACTGATAAAATTTTTCTTTCATTTTTTGCTCCAATTTTTTTTTAAATCTTGGCATATCAAAATTTAGTCAATTGTTTGAAGTTTCGAGGCTAATAAAGGCATAGCTAGAGTTTTAAAAAGTCTTCAATTTAGCCATTTGGTCTTCTGTACAAAAACGTCAAGAAATGTCTTAAAAACCTTGTCTTAATGTGTGGACTTGATGGTTAATATCATCTGAAATTGATCAGCTTCAGCTTCAAACTTTATCTAAATTAATCTTTGACTTAAAGCCTTTTTCTCCTTCTCAATCGCATGTAAATGAATCTGATACAATTCTAATTTAAAAACACATTAGGAGAGTTCTCATTAAGCAATGTTTCTCAAAGCGTTAAGAAATTAGTTCATACTACACTTTCGAGCTGTTACTCTAAAAGTGGAAAGTTTGTTTAAAAAATTGATTGCATTTTCTCTACGCAATACTTTGGTGGATTTTCCATATCCATGTAGAAAAATTTAGTCTTTTTTTTACCTCTATCAAAATCTTGCAACTGATTGATCTTGTAATCTCTACGTTCTTCAAATTGTTCTTTTATGTAAGACAAGTTTTGTTTCGGTGAAAGATGATAAAATACCTGAGTCGTCATGGTATGTGTAAAAATGGTTAACCGTGAAAACAATTAAGCCAATCAAGCTTTGTGTTGGGATGCTAAGTGTTTTAAAAAAATTCTCTAATCGTTTTTTTTTGGACTTGTAGGATTTCAATCACTTAGCCAAGGAAAAACTGGGATCAACTGAAGAAATGTTCTCTTCACAAGTCCTATTATCATTATTTGTCACAGAGCAACTATAACAAATTTTTCAAGGGAAATTTGCTGATTTTACCGGCTATCTTTGATATTTATTTTTCTGAAGCTCTTTTGTGGCCTATGGCAAAAAAACTTCAACTGTCAGCATCAAAATACCCTAAAAGGTTTGCATCAATCAACAAGCCTAATCTTTTTGTTCCTTGAATTACATAACAATGAAGTCATAAGTGAAAATCATTCCTTTCAGAAGCTTTTTTTGAAATTTCAGGCAAGAAAACTTCAATCCTCATTACAAGTAGCGATCAGAATAAATTAACATTCGTATTAAATATGATAAGTTGTATAACGAAAAAGGGGAAAAATTAGAAGAAAAAAGTGGAATTAAAAAAACGTTCTTGGGAGTTTTAGGCAAAAAATCCTTTCTCAGTACCAAAAAAGCTATCAAACTGTGGCAACAGTTATAGGCAGTGCCCAAAATATCCTCTTTACTTTCAGTTATCGCAATTATGTTTTTTTTGGAATTCTGAAAAAGCAAAAATGAAACTTAAAAAATACAATTTTTTCAATGGTCTTTCGCCCAATGTATACTTTATAATGATATATTTCGCAGTTGATTTTACATTATTTGGTTCAATTAGTCTACATCTGGTTTCTTTTGCATGGTTTCGTAGCCTGATCATTTTGCCGCAACTGCTGCGCGCTAAAAGAAAACTTGAACTTTCTGGCAAATGAGCTTTTTTAAATGGGTAACTTTTCAAAACTCATAATTTTACGGCAGAAGATCACAGTTTATAGATATTTTTGATTTGGAAAACAAGCACATTTATTTAGATGGTTTTTAAAAAGCATGAAAATTTGGCAGTTTTTGGTTTGTGAGTGAAGCCAAAAATACTAGTGTGGGCTTTTAAATTCCACGACAGCTTCTGCAATTTAGTAAAAACAAAATCGGGACAAACTAATTTGTCGAAAAGAAAAATTTATTAAACACTCAGTTTCAACGAATTGCTCGGGAGATTATAAAACTACAAAGCACGAAAGTTTTCATAAAAAAAACATCCATGGATAGGTAAAAAAAAACTTCCCTAGAAATTCTTTCTTTCAAAACTTTTTTGGGGCTCTGGAAAAAAAATTTTCTTTCGTTTGAAAATTTTTTAAATTGGAACTTTTCCTGTAACATTAACATTTTTGAGATAATTTCAAAATTTTTTCTAATAGACAGATGAAAAACTGTCTCAGGGTTCAAAACAGACAATTACAGGAGCTTCCATTCTTTTTCCTTATTAGCTGTCATTAGTAAATGTTTTTTGAACAATACAGATTTGAGCTTTTTCAATCATATCACGGATGTATTAAAATTATGAAAAAAAGCAAAATTACAGCCTCATAAGTACAGTGCTGTTTTCAATTAACCGATATAACAAAGCAAAAACTATTTGAAATTGTTTTTTTTTTTCAAATTGCATTTAGATTAAACAAAAACGTGAGGAGATCAAAATTGCTTAGAATTCGATCGGAACTAATATCGTGCAATTCATTTTAATTAAATTTGCAACCACAAATTTAGGCCAAAAAATAATAGTTCTAGCTTTTTTTCTAACTTAATAAAAAAATCGCTGAAACTACCAAGTTGATTAACGAAAAAGATAAATACAAAGAATTCTTTTACACCGCAAAGTTTTTAGCCAAAGATTTTTATTTTTATTTAGTAAAATGACCTTTTGACCTTTTTTGAATATCAACCAGAAAAATATTCTAGAATACAGATTTTTGAGATTTTTACCTTTCTAAAACTTTTTTGCTTCGTGTAAAGGCTTCTTTGGTTATAACCGTCTCATCAATCAACTTGGCACTTTCAGCGTAATTCTTGATTAATTAGAAAAAGCCAAAATAACCCATTTTTGAATAACATTTTTGTTTGCAAATTTCGAAAAGTAATTTTCCCCAAACTATTTCTGATTAAATTCTAAGAAAATCTTCACCCAAATTGAGAAAAACGCAATTGAAATTACAAAACGCAATTGAATTTCGAAGGACTAAACGAATGATACTTAAAACAACAACGTTTTTTTTTCAATTGAATTGACTTTACACAAAAATTGATCAAGCAAAAGCTTGCGCAGAATTTTTGCAAAATAATTAAGTGCAATTATGTTGGCAATAATCCGGCAAGTTTTTTTTTGAAAAAGTAAGCTAGAAAAAATCGAAAAAGCATTAATACAAAACTTTGTCTAAGATGCGTCTAATAAACAGCCCTAGCAAAAAATGAGAATTAGTGACCAATCGGAAAAAAATTTAAGTCGAAGAAACTTAAGTCGATGTGCAATAAGTTTGCCTAAAATTATGCATACTTGAGCTGTGATTGGTCACTTAAAAAACCGAATGAGATATGATAAAAAAGAAAATTTTTGAGCTGTTCTTTTTCGACTATAAGTTTATTGAAAATTGTCAACTCTAACCGTCATCACTCGAGAGTTTCATAAGAGCAATTTCTTAACACCTAACATGGCGTTAAAATAAACTTAAGTTATAGAAATAGCATGTAAAAATCATATGTACAAAACTTTTATTGATTTTTAAGCAAGCGCAACAGAGGCTATAGGTCACAGTTAGTGTTTTGTTCTGACCGAGATGAGATACGAATCCAGTTTTGGCTTAACAAGAGCAGAAAAATATACGAATGTCTACTTAATCTTTTCTAGCTGATTCTAGCTTTGGCAACTTAACAAAAGGAAACAGCTCTCATTTTAAACCTCTCACTTTATATGAGAACAATGCAGCGCGCGTGGCCGAGTGGGCACGGCGCGCTTATTTAAACACGAGGGTCCAAAGTTTAAGTGCTACTTAGCACGGTCGCAATTTTCTCCACCTCAAAGGGGGAACAGCTACACCAAAATGGATGAATATTTCCTTCTCCATAAAACCCTGTAGTGGATAGGGTCAGGACTAATAGAAAAGAATAATTAAATTTCCATCAGAATTCCGAAGAACTTAAAATGCAGACATGCTCAAAAAAATCTGTTGACAGCCGAGCTAACTGACTCAACTGATTTTGTTAAACTAGTTGTTGACTAGAAAAAAGTCTACATTCCAGTTTGATAACGCTTGCTAGTCGCAAACGTAACTAGAGTTCGGAATATTTCTTTTCTTTAGGCGCCAAAAATTATGCGTTTTTTTACAGCAGAAACAGGTCTAGGATTTAACAAAAAAAAACCAAATTTGCTATTAAAAAAATTAATATTTTTTTTAGTCGATCGAAAAAATTTTCTCAAATTCTACTTAAATTAGTTTTATTTTTTAAAATAAGCCAAAATGATGCTTCCCGAAATTCCAAAATGGCGGTTTTTGGAGATATTTCTTACGAACTGAACTTAGAAAATAGCTATAAATTTTCTAGGTTGGTTGGCCAAAAATGGATGTCGTAAAAAAGTATCAATGGGTTCACCCCAATTTTCTCTCTTGTTGCATATCATCACCCAGCTTATGGGTTGAAAAGGAAAGTTTAATCTAAATTAACTACCATGAACAAAATAATTTAAGCATGATTATTGCCTGGTACCTTCGCAGAGGGTTTTTTGGCTCTCTGATCTATGAAGTTTAGTAAAATTTGTTCAGTAACTGGCTTCAAAATTGATCTAAACACCGACTTCGCAGTTTTTATGTGATTAGGCGTGCTCTTATCAGTTCGATGCCTCAAAAACTTCCACAATTCTTTCGCTCGATATCCGTTCGTTTCTGTGAACGAAAGCGGAGCACATTCTATAATCGCACCTTCAGGAAGACTCGATATTTTATTTTTGACCTCTTTCGGTTCGTCTTTCAACTTCAAATATCCAACCGGTTGTTTACATCCTGTAACGTATAATTCGATCGTATATTGATCCAAAAATCCAACTTTCTTCGCAACGCAAACGTTCATTTTGAAATCTATTGTATTTAAATGAGGCGGCTTCCATTTCAAAACAGCAAAGTTTGTTCCTCCGACATAAGGCGAGTTCCATTTTTGGAACATGAGTCCGTCTAACTCGTGTGACACTTGGCTGTTAAATTTGCTCCCACTTGCCAGCAGTTTTCTAGCTTTCGTGATGTCGTAGAATGGTTTGCATCTGATGCTGAAGGGTTCCGATGACTTGTCCACGCGGGATTCCAGATTGTTCCGAGGTACCACAATTTCCTTCTCAATACATAGAAGGCGGATGTCGTAGTTCATTTTGCCCACTTGTTCGTTCATGAACTGCACTATGTCGTACGCCAGGAATCTAAATTATAAAAGATTTCCTTTAGTTGCATTATTGGACAAATGTAACATATGTCAACTATCTCAGGATTGAAAATATCGACGAAAAAACTAGACTTATGATAATATTTCAATATCATTTCCTTCACTAAAGTTTAAATCGAAAATCTGGATTTGCGCGTAAAAAAAGAAGTTCGTCCCATATTCTGTGGTCCAAAAAACGAAGTTACAGACTAGAAAAAAAACACCTGTGAATTTTATTGCCGTCGTGACTATCAACGACCAACTCCCCGTCCAGCAAAGTGTCACACAAGTCCATCTCGGGGGCCTTCCTGTTGGGAAATACAAACTGGGGGGCGACGAAGACTGTGTTGTCCCTGTCTAGGAAGTAGGTCTCTTGGGGTCCATTGATGAGCATCATGTATCGCAGTCCGTCCGCCTTCCAACTCACTCGGAAGTGGTCATCTGCCATGGTCAACAAGTTCTCCATGTCCAAAGATACAGGCTGCAGACCTGAACACAGGGACAGTAATAGTAGTTATCGTAATTAACAGTCATCATCAATAAATGGTAATAATGAAAACAATAAAAACAAAAAGGATAACCGGTTTCTTTAGTAGTGGCACAGAATGCTCCGACCATTCATTAAAAAAAAATCAAAAAAAGTTTGTTTCTTTCTGTTTTACAAATAAACATCGTTTTTTTGTGTGTTGTGATTTGATAACTATTTTAATGCGTAGAAAGTTTGTAAATAAAGCATAATTGACAACAGTTGTCTTCGAAACAAAATATGAAAAATCTGAAAATAAAAAATGAGAAATTTAAAATCAAAATTTTGCAGAATATTTTTTATTTCAAAAACTGTTTCTTGTGAAAAAAGCGCTTAAAGAAACTTCCAAAACAATTTTCGTGACATAAAAGTAAGTTTTGTGCTAGCTGAAGAAACAGCCAACAGGCAGTTAGAAAAGAGCCAATGAACGCAAGTTACCAGAAAAAAAACAAATTTATTTTTTAAAAACTTCAGCTTTCGAATTTAACAAAAAAGAGACTTAAAGCTCTTTCAATTTCAAATAACTGATGACTTTTTTGGATAAAATTAAACCAATTTGAGAAAACTGAATCAATAAGTTAATTTTTTATTTCGCTGGGAAATCTGAAAATTAAATTCCACTTGCAAAACTAGAATTCGATCAAGTTTTTGTGACCTTTACACTTTTGCTGTTCGATAGTGAGTTTGCTTTCTTTTTAACAAAGGAAATGAACTGAACTTGAACATAAATCAGAAGTAAAAACTATAAAAAAGTAAATTTTTAGACACTTCCTGAAAAAAATAATTATCACGACCTATATAAGAGTCTGAACTACGTTCATCGACTCTTCAAAAAATTTCTCTCATAAGACCTCTTCGCTCGCTTTACTCGCTCCAAATTAGACTAAAATAAAAATTCAAACGTGATTTTTTTGATGTATCTGATTTCGATTCAAACAAAAAAAGCTGCTCGCCCAATTTATTCGCTCAAAATCAGACAAACAATCCAAAATTTCAAACCGGTCTCTCTCGACACAAACTTTTAATGTCGAGCACATTACGACTGAAAGGTCTTTACAATGACATATTACTTGACTCATTCCGAAGATTATTTGGGGTAACTGATTTTGGGTAGGACAAAAAACACGTCGAAGACAAAGTTCCTCCCCATTTTCACTGGCTTAACCAGTACTTACGGGGCAGCATTTTCTTTGTTTACAATAATCTTCTTTTTCTTTTTGAATGATTCCTCATATTAAAATTTTCCCAAATCCTATTGATATTAACTCAAATTTTACTCTAAGGTCTTATTTAGACTGTACCCACAATGAAACAGCCTTAAAGCTGATTGAAATTGCCGAACAGAAACTAAACGCCATAAAAAATTCATTAGAGAAAATTGCGTAGGTTCGAAAAAAATACTGATCTTTTAACACGTTTTCTAAAAAAAATTCATTCTTCGGTCAGAAACAAACACAGTTTCACTGTAAAAAAAATACTACGATCTGAAGAGGTTCGAATACACGCACCCGACTCGAAAAATATCAATCAGACCATTTTTGGTCAAGTGAGGACTCTTTTGAAGCCCATAGCTATTTCGATAACTGATGCAAATGTAATTCACAGGATTTAAAATTCAGAAAAGAGATTTAAGTTGACGAAGATTAACGCTGTTCTATTAGTAGCACAAATTGTTCGGACAGCTATGAGTCGAATTAAAATTCAAACCTACAAAAAAATCTTTTAAATCGATTTCATTTTCTTTCTCTATTGTCTGTTAATCTTTTTTTAGTAAAGTACTATTGAAATAGGCGAGATCTAGGTAAATGAAGCTAAGAACGCAGAAAATTAAATATGAATTAATAGGGCTCAAATTCAGTGTCATTAATTCGGTCTAAAAAGCTAGCAAAAATCAAACTTGCCGAGACATTTTATGAATTCAAATCACGGAGTAAAAAATTCAATATGATATCACTCTTGATCCCTACAAATTTTCCTTGAGAGTCAAAAACCATCAGACGAACACACCCTACGTCATAGTTCCTTCTACTTCGTGAAGTGGTCGAAACAATAATTCATTTGGTATAGCAAGACAAAACTGCAAAATATTTTCTTGGATTACTATAGCATAATAAAATTTAAAAACGTGACGGACCTGGGAAGCCTCCAGAAGTCCAATTACACATATCTTGTACTTTGTCCCTCACACTCTGGACCAGTTCCATGTCTGTCACCTGCTCCACTCCCCCCTCCAGATCCGGACAGAAAACCGCATTGTCCTTATTCACCTCCTTCCTCGCTCTCTTCTTCGGCAACTGCGGTTGAGAGTCCTCTGAGGCCGTTCCACCAGCCGAAGAAGCGCCTTCGGCCGAAGAAGACGACGCCTCGACTGTCGGATCTGAACCGTTTTCGTCTCCGTTGTCCCAATCCGGTCTCTCAGGCGCCGACGGACACATGAGTAAAGGTATGCCCGCTTTGAGGCAAAGAGTTTCCAGGTAATCTTGTTTGTAAATACCCGGAGGCCTATGTTGGGCGAACAATTTAATTGCATCTAGGAGCGGCATTTTCATCCATCTTACGAGATAAGCGCAGATAAGATACCCAGTTCGATTGAACCCATGTGTGCAATGAACAGCAATTCGCAATCCTGGATTATTACAAGAAAAAGTATGACACAGTTCCATAAAATTAGACATAATATCGTCATTCGGGGCTTCGCTGTGACCGTCGCATTGGATTTTTTGATATTGCACGCCTCTGCTCTCAATCAACTTGTAATCGTAGAAACGACTTGTTTTCGTCAAATCAATCCACAATCCAATTCGGTTTTGCTGCGTTAGTACCATATGGGGATGGAAACACTCGTGGGGTTCCAACTTGTCGTCAAACTTCTCGTCCAGAGGAGTTTTGAAAGGGAAGAAGAGATCGCAGATGATGGTGCCTCGTCTGGGACAGTCTTTCCATCTAGGAGGCAAGGCCGTTGGATCATAGACGAAATCATCAAGTCGCCTTTTTCGATCAGCCATAGGAAGTGATTTTACTCAAGATCTGACTCAACAAATGATTTTTAGGACATCGGGATCTCGTTTAATTTCACATTTGAATCTGAAATAAATATGTTTCAACGGAAAAAAATACCGAACTCAATTTAAATGACCATTTTATTCCCGACCACTTCAAGTGGGACGGGTCTATAGCGTAGGGTGTTTTTCCTTTCAATTTCAGATACAGGGAAGCTCAATTTGAGGTATATGGGGTCAAATGTAATATCATATTGAAGCTCCACTTGCTGTGATTCAGCTTCTAAGAGTAGAAAAAAAGGGGTCAGACCTTTCCCGCTTTTGAGAACAAGTTACACTGAGGAATGACTGATATGTTTAACATCTAATTCACTCTCCTCCCACTACTACAATAGAAAAATTCAGAAAATATGGAAAAAAGTATTCAAACAATTTTCTATTATTTTACTTAGTTTAACGGGCATTTTTCCACCACTGCCCCACATTTGAGTTTCAATTTTGAAACGCTAATTGTGTTGCATGGTGAACAAACTAACTATTGTGAACACATTTGTTCTCAATACCTTACATCGTAAAATCACGCAAGCAGCCATAACATCACACAAAACAACTGAAAAAATTGAAAATTTGAAATGTGGGGGGGGGGGGGGGTGGAAAAGAGCTGTTTAATGTAGTTGGAACAGAATGTGCTACTTGCACAGCAACCATCAATCATTGTTCAGTTACAAACGTGTTATATCAAACCGCAAAAACAAGGAACGAAGCTGCCATAATGGTTTTGTCTAGATTTATATTTAGATAATTCAGCTTTACAAAAATCTCAAGAAAAATGCGATTTGACATTTAATCAAAACTGGTGCGAAAGTTGATTTTTTTCGCACGCTGGATTTTAATACATCAAAACCGATTTCATGACAAATTATCTGTTACCTTTTATCCCAATCGAAGGTAACCCACTCAAAAATAACGCGGCGAGTAAAATAGCCCAGGACGAAGTAGCCCACGCAAATTAAAATATCCCATCTGAGGATTCGAAACAATTAAAATATCGCAATAGGTTAATCAAAGGCATTGGAACCAAGATGGCGAAATTGAACAAACTGACCAAAGCAATGCTCACTTTTGAAAAAAAAAACGCGTGAAATCTAATTCAAATCAAGGCGCGAAAACTTCAAAGCACGTTTGAAATCAAAAATCAACCTATGTTTTGAGCAATCAAAGCAAAAATATATGACTTTCTAAGCACATTTGAAAATATGGTTATCAATTAAAAAAGCATCAAAAAGCCAACAATTTGCAAAAAAAAATGATGCCGAAAAATGATTCTCTTTATGGCTTCTCAAAATAAATGAGGCAGCTTTACTGAAACTCTTTTAAATCAAACTAACTATTGTGAACACATTTGTTCTCAATACCTTACATCGTAAAATCACGCAAGCAGCCATAACATCACACAAAACAACTGAAAAAACTGAAAATTTGAAATGTGGGGGGGGGGGAGTGGAAAAGAGCTGTTTAATGTAGTTGGAACAGAATGTGCTACTTTCACAGCAACCATCAATCATTGTTCAGTTACAAACGTGTTATATCAAACCGCAAAAACAAGGAACGAAGCTGCCATAATGGTTTTGTTTAGATTTATATTTAGATAATTCAGCTTTACAAAAATCTCAAAAAAAATGCGATTTGACATTTAATCAAAACTGGTGCGAAAGTTGATTTTTTTCGCACGTTGGATTTTAATACATCAAAACCAATTTCAAGACAAATTATCTGTTACCTTTTATCCCAATCGAAGGTAACCCACTCAAAAATAACGCGGCGAGTAAAACAGCCCAGGACGAAGTAGCCCACGCAAATTAAAATATCCCATCTGAGGATTCGAAACAATTAAAAGATCGCAATAGGTTAATCAAGGGCCTTGGAACCAAGATGGCGAAATTGAACAAACTGACTAAAGCAATGCTCACTTTTGAAAAAAAAAATGATGCCGAAAAATGAATCTCTTTATGGCTTCTCAAAATAAATGAGGCAGCTTTACTGAAACTATTTTCAATCAAACTAACTATTGTGAACACATTTGTTCTCAATACCTTACATCGTAAAATCACGCAAGCAGCCATAACATCACACAAAACAACTGAAAAAATTGAAAATTTGAAATGTGGGGGGGAGTGGAAAAGAGCTGTTTAATGTAGTTGGAACAGAATGTGCTACTTTCACAGCAACCATCAATCATTGTTCAGTTACAAACGTGTTATATCAAACCGCAAAAACAAGGAACGAAGCTGCCATAATGGTTTTGTTTAGATTTATATTTAGATAATTCAGCTTTACAAAAATCTCAAGAAAAATGCGATTTGACATTTAATCAAAACTGGTGCGAAAGTTGATTTTTTTCGCACGCTGGATTTTAATACATCAAAACCGATTTCATGACAAATTATCTGTTACCTTTTATCCCAATCGAAGGAAACCCACTCAAAAATAACGCGGCGAGTAAAATAGCCCAGGACGAAGTAGCCCACGCAAATTAAAATATCCCATCTGAGGATTCGAAACAATTAAAATATCGCAATAGGTTAATCAAAGGCATTGGAACCAAGATGGCGAAATTGAACAAACTGACCAAAGCAATGCTCACTTTTGAAGAAAAAAAACGCGTGAAATCAAATTCAAATCAAGACGCGAAAACTTCAAAGCACGTTTGAAATCAACCTATCTTTTGAGCAATCAAAGCAAAAATATATGACTTTCTAAGCACATTTGAAAATATGGTTATCAATTAAACAAGCATCAAAAAGCCAACAATTTGCAAAAAAATGATGCCGAAAAATGATTCTCTTTATGGCTTCTCAAAATAAATGAGGCAGCTTTACTGAAACTCTTTTTAATCAAACTAACTATTGTGAACACATTTGTTCTCAATACCTTACATCGTAAAATCACGCAAGCAGCCATAACATCACACAAAACAACTGAAAAAAATTGAAAATTTGAAATGTGGGGGGGGGGGAGTGGAAAAGAGCTGTTTAATGTAGTTGGAACAGAATGTGCTACTTGCAGAGCAACCATCAATCATTGTTCAGTTACAAACGTTTTATATCAAACCGCAAAAACAAGGAACGAAGCTGCCATAATGGTTTTGTTTAGATTTATGTTTAGATAATTCAGCTTTACAAAAATCTCAAGAAAAATGCGATTTGACATTTGATCAAAACTGGTGCCAAAGTTGATTTTTTTCGCACGCTGGACTTTAATACATCAAAACCGATTTCATGACAAATTATCTGTTACCTTTTATCCCAATCGAAGGTAACCCACTCAAAAATAACGCGGCGAGTAAAATAGCCCAGGACGAAGTAGCCCACGCAAATTAAAATATCCCATCTGAGGATTCGAAACAATTAGAAAATCGCAATAGATTAATCAAAGGCATTGAAAAGATGGCGAAATTGAACAAACTGACCAAAGCAATGCTCACTTTTGAAAAAAAAAACGCGTGAAATCAAATTCAAATCAAGGCGCGAAAACTTCAAAGCACGTTTGAAATCAACCTATCTTTTGAGCAATCAAAGCAAAAATATATGACTTTCTAAGCACATTTGAAAATATGGTTACAGAATATGACTTTTGGTTCAAAGATCAAACCATCGATTCACGATGGATCAAAAGTTTTTGTTCGAAATCGATGAAAAAAAGATCCCCTCAAACCTCCCGGTACTGGGTAACCTTTATGGGGGATGAGGGAAAAGGCAAAATCATTGTTGTATTGGCCTCTATCTACGAGGGCTATAAAGCCAAAAACTTTATAATTTTTGGAAAATCAATTAAAAAAGCATCAAAAAGCCAACAATTTGCAAAAAAAATGATGCCGAAAAATGATTATCTTTATGGCTTCTCAAAAAATAAATGAGGCAGCTTTACTGAAACTCTTTTTAATTGCAAAATGGAGTTATGCACTAATCCTGGGTAATGTACATTTTTATCATAAATTAGTTTTTAATCATTTATGGGATATTTTAATTGTCTTGGGCTAAAATGGCATGGGATACTTTCGTATAGAATATTTTGTCCTATCATCCCCAAAACCACGACTTATATAAGAGCCCGACTTCCGTTCATCGACTCTTAAAAAACATGAAATCTAATTAAACTTGCAATTAATAATAAAATATGCTACGATTATTCTTTTAAAATCACTTGGTGTAAATGGTCGTCTTTTAAAACTGCTACCTTTTTGTCTGAGGCTGTAAAAGAAACGAAAAGGTTTCTCGAGCCCCCAATTACTCCACTGAAGCCATTACAGACGCAGACCCCGATTCGCGAGTTCTCTTTTACATCTCGTACATCAACCACTCCTCGACTTTGAGATGATTACAGGACCAGATTTAAAAATTTATTTCATTAAATATAACACATCAAATAAAAAATAGAATTCGAAAAGTAACAAATCGAAACATGTTCAAGAATTAAAAAAACGAATCAATCAGATTGGAACTCCGGCGTATAAAAAACACATTGATATTCTAATGTCTAAGGGCAATGTGCAATATTACTTGGGTCACTCATACAATCGATTTAAGTAGAATTTTAACATTTTGAGAGACAAAGGAGATTGTATGACCTTCCCTATTATATGGCATATTAATCAACTCAAATATACGATAATCGAACCCTGATTTTCCATTACAAATTTATACCTCTCGGTTCGCAAGTATTTCAAAATTTCGGGTTTGATTTTCGATAGTCCTTTACTATTTTTACCCCAACCAGTGATAATGCGAAGGGTGGAATATCTATTCAAATTTCGCGGATCCGAAAGTTCCAGCAAATAATTTTTCACAGCAACTTTTGCTTCGTCGACGTGAAGTTTATGCAAATCAAGTACATTGGGCGCTCGTTCTTTATTCGCCTGTTCAATAGTTAGTAAAGCCGCTCTCTCGTGAGCTTCTTTCATCAGCTCTCCGTATTCGTACGCTTTTCTCGCATAATGCTCTTTTTTCATAGCTTTGTCTGGCCCGGAAGCCGCACTAGCTTTGTCCAGTTCCTGTTGTCGGAGGTTTCTGTACATATTCGCTTCTGCTCGCAGGTCTCGGTAATCTGGATGAGAAAGAGTTTGAAAGCTTCGGTCAGGATCTGAAAAAAAAAATAGATCTGTTGGAAACATTTCAGTTCAAGTAGCAGCAGCCGCATCATCATCACTTTTTTCAGCGATTGGCAGAGAATCTATGAAAGGCAATCCAGCCTGTCTGGGCATAGTCCGTTTCTCTTATTTCCCCACATTCCAGTTTGAGTTATTTTGTTCAGCAAAGCTCTTTTTTGCGACTCAAGGTCGTTTTTTTTGCGTCTAGAACTTTCACGTGGTACCATTTTTTGCAGCCGTAATCGGTCAGGCTGTGGTAGACCTGAAGCTAGAGGTCAAGTGAGAGCTCATACTCACACACTATTATTGCCATTGCAGGGGATCGATTACACGATCTGACGTTTTCAAAGTGAACGCCTTAACACTATGCTAATTGCCTAGTCATCATCATCATCAATATTTATTTATATATACACTCGTCCTTTCACGTAAGAGTTGAAATATACAGTTATTTGCAATAAAATTTTCAAAAAGTGACATTTCAGTTATTTGCGAAATGAAGTGAGGTTTTCACTTACCTTTCTCAATACCATCAACCCGTTGATTGAACACAGAAAGCCAAACCTCAGCTAACAGTGGAAGTCTGGAGGTATTTTTATTTTTTACAAAGTTACTTAAAAACGCTTCAATACTAAACTGATGAGCCCATTACACTACGGCTATATAGCACGCACTCACCTAGCAATATTAATATTTTGAGATTTAAGAACTTCAAAAAAAGGAAATACCTAGAATCTTCTAAGAACACGTGAACCAATTCAAACAGCAAAAAGATTATTGACTAGACTTGAAAATAATTTCACTCCATCTTTTCATTTGAGAGAGAGAGAACCATGAACGGCAAAAAATCTTGTCAGAAAACAAAGCAGGACAAAAGCAAAGTAAGAATTTACACTCACTTGGTAGATCCGGGAAATTCACCGCTGGTTTCAGCTGCGTGTGCGTTTCCTTTGGTCGTGCTCCTAAATATTTAGATAATTTACAGGGACGTAAATAAGAGGGAAAAAATTAACGAAACAAAAAAACAGAGATAATTTATCTCGACACTGGTAAAAAAAATTACGTTTTAAAAAAGGTTTCAATCACGGCCAAAAAACTTCAACTTGACGACACTCTCTGAAGATTACCAGTGGTTTTACTTAATTTTGCGCGAAAAAAAACATCGATTTGGGATCGAGAAAACTTGCTAAATCGCAATGGCGGGAGCAATTACTCTTACCCGAGTTGGAATTGACTGCAGACGAAGCTGCAACTGGTTGTTCGTCCTGCCAATAACTCGCCTTTTTGGTCGAATGTAGAAGAGCTTCGGGCGGATCGCCAAACTGCATAGCCAAAATCTCAACTGCATTTTTCATATTGTAGTTGAAATCATTCATCGCAATTGAGAGCGCTTTTTGAGGCACATGCGGGAATAATTTAGCAAGTTGGTCCATTTTCACCCTGTCTGCGGTTCGATCCCCGACCTTGCTCCGAGCATCAATAGACGCCGCCAACTGAACTGCTTCTGCTTGTGCCGTTTCAGATCTTTCAGCTCGTTTTTCTTCGTCCATAATATCGTAGAGACTGACTGAAGTTGCGCCAGATTTTTCATTGTTTTCGGCGTTGAATGCGTTCAGTAAATTCGTCTTTGGCGCTTTTCGTTTCACTTTCTTCGACTTCGGAGAAGCAGTAGAGCTCGAAGGACTGTCCAATGCCTGTTGGAATGCAGGTCAGAAAATTACAACTCAAAATAAAATTTTAACGCAGTTTATATTCATAAGGGCTCTTTTCCAGTTTCCTGTGTAACCGTAATATTATAGAAAAAATTGTCTACGACAGGGGCGGATTTGGGGGGGGGGGCGGACTTAAAATATATACTTACTTTGGGGAGCGCGCGCCAAAAAAAGACAATTTTTTTGTCAAAATTTTCCAAAAAGTGCCCAAAAACGGCTTTTTTCACCTGTTTTTGCAAAAATTTGCCTGCGGCGCAAAACAATTGGCCAAAACAGCGTCTTTTTTTAAAGCTTTTAGGAGAGCTCGGAAAATCAATTTGGCTTTAAAAACAGCGTCTTTTTTAAAGCTTTTAGGAGAGCTCGGAAAATCAATTAGGAGAGCTCGGAAAAACAGTTGTCAAAGTTTCGAAAATTTTTTGAAAACCCGCCCCGCCCCCCTCGAAAAAATCCTAGATCCGCCAATGGTCTATGAAGTGTTCGGACAGAACTTTCCATGCAATAAGTAAGCTCAAACCTGTTAATGACTTCAAACCATAATAGGTTTAGTGACATTTTTTGAATAAATTAGAACAGAACAGTACAATCCATTTTAAATAGTAATTTAGCAACAGTAATTTTGCAAAAATCGAAAACAGGAACTTAAAACATAGCCAACAGACAGCTGGAAAACAGACAATGAATGCAAGAAACCAGAAAAAATACAGACTGAGTTTTAATAAAATCTCAAACTTCGAATTTCCATGGAAAAAATAGATGCCTTTAAACCACTTTGAATTTCTAGGGCAGTTTATGATTGGTATTTTTGGATAAAATTAACCCAATCACAAACAAAGTTTTTATTTCGCATTAATAAATAAAATTTTATTTCGCTGGGAAATTTGATACTTTAATTCCATTTATGAAATTAGAAGTCGATCACGTTTTTCATGAACTTTACAATTTTGCTGTTCGATAGTGGAGTTTGCCCTCTTTTCAACAAAAGAAATGAAGTGAACTCAAAACGAAATCAGAAGTCAAACCGCGATAAAGTTAATTTGAGCCTGAAAAAAAAAACGGAAAAAAAATCATCACGACCTATCTAAGAGTCTGAACTACGTTCATCGACTCTTAAAAGGGCCGAAATGAGTAGATTTTAAAACGTCAATTGACTTGAGTCAACTTCAGAACTCATTTAAGATTGCAACTAACCGCTGATGAAATGTCAATCAAAGTTTGCTCCTGCAGCAGCCCATTCTGAGCATTCATTCCAGCTGATGTCTTTCTCTTTTCTGGAGTGAGAGACGGTGACAAGAATTCGACGACCTCAACCACAGATGAGTCATTATGAACACTGACAACCGAAGAACTTGTAGTGTCCATTGGCTCGTCTTCGCCCTCCGACGCTGACTTTCTCCACGCATTGTAAATAAATTTCAGCTGCATTCTATTCAACTCAATACTCGGTTTCCGTTCACAATTCTCAAATGAACCAAACATGTTCAAAAGCGTGGCTCTCAATTCCGGCACACTTCCCAAACTTATCTTGAACTTGACAGCTTCGTCCGCTTTTGTAGCTGAACTAGGAGCTACTATTGTACTTTCTGAGAGACGAATGCCATCACTAGACTGCAGAATTGTGGAGCTCAAAACATTTTCAATTACTGTATTCTGCGTCTCGTCTCCATCCTCCGAACCTTCAGAATCCGAGTCAAGAATGTCAATCACCGGATTCCGATCTTCGTCATTCGGTTCATCTTTAACTATTCCGGTTGAGTTCATCGTCGATCTATCGCGAGCACTTATCGAAGAATTCAACATCACGAGAGAATCATTTCCAAGCGAGCCAGCGCCTAAAGATTCATCAATTTTCCGCAAAGCGATCTCCTTTAAGGTCGGAACTTTCGATCTTCTGACATTCATTGGAAGCGCTGCTCCAGAACTCGACGCTCTGCATTCTTGTGAATCCAACTGTTGATTCTCATCGTCTTCAATTTGATCGCTAACATCACAAAGTGTTTCTAAAGCCATGTCCACACTTCCATTGTGAACAATCAAGACATTACGAACGTTGTCTATAGTCTGATTCGGGAAAATCGACAGTAGCGTTTTTTCGTCTTCAGAAAGCACAGAATCAAATGAGCTACTCATTGCATTTTGATTAGATGAAACTCGTTTTGAAGTGTTTTCTGTTCTCTTGACATAAGTCGAGGCTGTCGGTTGAAACACAGGAGCTGCAACTGTCAAGTTAGTAAGTTGTGTCGTCATCTTATCTTCCACCCTTTTGTCTTTCGGCTTCGGAACTTTCGGAGTTTTCTTGGCGATCGGCGAGCATTCAGTTGTTTCGCCAAGTGCCCACGAAGGCAAACTGTTGTCCAGATTGGCAGTATTCGATGCTGATGGGGTTTTGAAACTAGATCGTTAGGTTATATCAGAATAGATAGAATTTTTTTTACTACACTACAAAAAAGATTTCTAAACGGACTTGCCAATTTTTGTTCCGACCACTGAAACTGGAAAGGAACTTTGTATTCGGGCGTGTTTGAGTTTTGCTTTGCCCTCAACTAATTTACAAATGCGTGAAAAAATTAGAAAACACCAATGAAAAAAATCCCATGTTTTATTTTTTGGAACAATTTTTAAAACATTTTTTTAAACCGAAAACATTTTCATCGAAGTTAAATGGTGGACAGAACATTCAGGGTTTAAGAATACAACAGAATTAAACTGCCAGCTCAATAGAGACTGATGTCATTCTCATGAAAAAACATACAAATTACAATTAAAGCAATTTTATCTAATTAAAACGTTGCTGTTGAAATATAATCCTAAGTTTTGAAATTGAAAGATGACTTCTCAACATGACGCGGAATGTTGAAATTGAATGCAAAAATTATAAATTTTCGGACTAATTAACAAAGAAGTTTTTTTCGGCTTTTTCAAATGGATCTTTAGTTGGGATCTGAATGACTTGAAAAATCAAAGCTGCAAAAGACCCTATAATATAAACGCAACATATGTGATTTATGCAAGAGTTACAATGATATAACGACCTATTCTGATATACTCACCCAACTGGGGCTTTAGGCTTAGTCCCTGTTGGAACATTGTTCGCCGTTCCGAAAGCAGCTGACAAAACACTTTCGAGTGCTTGGTCAGCGCTAGATTTTTGACTTCCCGTCAGAAACGCATTAGATGAACTTGCCCCATCGTTTACCCGAATCGGCGTCTTTGCTGGAAAACTACTGGTTCCCGGAGGAATGATTGGAATATTGAGAGGACTACTTGAATGATATGTAGACACATTGGTGGCAGCAGCACCAACAGTAGGAAAGGCACTCGGTTGAGCTAGAAAGGGAATTGTTTTCTGTTGGTTGCGATTACTCGCATACATGCTGTCATAATTGAAGATCTTCTCGAAACGTGCTTGCATGAAAATTATCCTTTCTTCGTCAACGCCGTGAATAGTTTTGCTAGCTAAAACATTCAATATTTCACACATTTCCAAGCTCCCTGAAATCAGCATTGTTAAGTTTTTTGCAATAACTACACTTTTTCGTATAGTAACAAAATGATTGAGGACGTCTGTAAGTTGACAACATATACACATTCGATTTTAATGCAACAGATTCATATTCGATTCTGATGATGAAAATTTGTCATAACTTGTTCGAGCCACCCTCATTCCAAAAACTTGAATGAACTTATAAATATCGCCAATACTTAAGTGAATATATTGCCAAAACTTCTGAAGTCGGCAAAAGATTCGATACATATGATCAAAGTAAGTAAATTGAACAAACCTGATTAGAAAGTCTAAGCATAAATGAAACTTGCATGAGAACAAATTCAGAAAAAATCAAAGTGATAATTTTTTTTGAGATGAGCCGAAATTTTGAGCACGTTTGGGTTCAGAAACGCTCGTTTTAAATATTAAATTTTGAAAAACATTAACTTATAAACGATGACTTAAGCTATTAAATTTTAAATTTAATGAATGTTCTTTGCTGACTGAATGCGTGCAATTTTTTGCAATTTTACATATCAATGATATACAAAAACATATCTCATAATATATACAATACATCTATGCTCAAGCTCTTGTTGTTGCTGAAAACAGTTAAAATTGAATGCATCAAAATCAGAATGTAAAACCTTTTCGCAAAAAAAATGATAAGCAGAATGTGGAAACTGACAGATTAATTATAAATAATCAATAAACAGCCAAGAAATCTGATTGCAAATGTTTAGGTCTCACTGTTGATTCTTATCTGTCATTTCAAACTCAATCAAAAAAAAATATTACAAAAAATGACGACAAAAACATTGTCTTTGGTTGCTTTGCTACGCTGTTTAGTTTAATATCTTTTAGATTATGCAGCAAAATTTTTAGAGCAAATAAAAGCAACTTCAAGGCTGTCCGTAGAAAATAAAATAAACTGGGTTTTGAAACGCACATTTTTCAGATCAAAATTTATATCTTCTGCCGCACTACAGAAAAATAAAACATGTATCGGAATTGAGAACAGAAATGAACTGAAATGTGTTTCATATCTATATCAATATCTTGAATGAAAACTTTTACAAATGCACTTGGGCTACCGACAGCTCATTATAGAATAAATCAAGGAACTAAGCAAATAATTTTTAATAACCATTGTTCAACTGCTTCTCTACATTATCTTTTTTTTTCATTTGACATCACAAAAATGGATTTCTTTGCCAGTTAAATTACGAAAGTTTTATATAACCACATCAACGTTCAAGAAAACGTTCTACACTTCTAAAATACAATCTAATCCTATATCTGCATATACAAATACATAGCGTGATTCCGTTTTCATTAGTGTATTTGCAATTATCTGTTAAGTTTTAACAATGCGTTAATAACATTACGTTGATTACAATTTTCAAGGGTTTACAAATAGTTTTTTTTTACTTTTCAATTTCATTTTTAATTTGAAGATTTTATTGATGTAGTAATTTCACCTCATTTTATTCAAACATTGCAACTTATCTGAATCAGTACCTAATATTAATTTTACCTAACACTGTTACGATACGAATGCAACAACTTTTGTGTATAGTAATTGAAGCATTTTTTCTTCTAAATATCAAATTGAATTTGTAGCTGACTCCACATTTTCTAGCAACATATTCACTTCGAGTCTTAATTTTTAATTTGATTATTGATTTAGGATCAAAAAGCGTACTCGCAAATTTTCAGCCAAATCGGCACATTAGAATCGAATATGTCTGAGGGCTATAAAATAAGATTACATTACAGACTCCCATAAAAAACACACTGTGATGGTGCTATAATTTTTGTTACTAGACTAGTACAATGGAAAATATGCAAAGAAATATAACGGGAAAGGATCTCTGCGCGCAATGAAAGTTTCAATCTGACAAATGAGACACTTTAATTTCTTCCTTCAATTCCAGTTGAGGTGCTAAGATCACAAAACATTCCAATCGGCATTCTTGCCAATAAAAACTTACAACATAACCACAGACAGCTGGAAAAGAGTTAATGAACGCAAGTTAACAGAAAAAAAACTTTCGAATTCGAAGAAAATAGACGACCTTATAGCTTTTTGAATTTCTAGAACAGTTTGAAATTAACTTAGAACAGTTTGAAAAGGCAATTTTTAATACTCGGAATTCTGAAAATTAAAATCCATTTTCGAAACCACAAGTCGATCACGATTTCCGTAACATTTACCCTTCTGCTGTTCGATAGTGAATTTTGCTTTTCTTCAAAAAAAATCAAAACTCAAACCGCAAAAAAATAGCGCAAATTCAAGTTTTTTTACTCTAAAACACCGGTTATCAATGTCCATTTTGAACATTTGCTGCTAATTTTAGCACAATTTTTACATAGACCAAGATCAAATTCAAAGACTTCCCGATGTAATCCGGGTCTTAAAAGGCCAGATTTACTCATTTGCACTAAGTTTTGCATAGAAAAGAAGTCTTTCTCGAATAAGCGGAGTAAGAAAGTTGTTCATGGGACGTGAAACATTCTCAGGGAGAAAAATGAAATAATCAGACTGAAAATTTTACTAAACTCAGCTGTTTTTACTTTTTGACGCGGATTGCAAAACTTGAAGCGGACAAGGAAATCTGACATTTTAAGACCCAGATTACATAGGTAAATTAATGAAACCGATTATTGATAGTTTCATAGAGAGTAGCTTTGACCATTTGCTCTGGATCTATGTAAAAAATTGTTGTCCAAAATAGATATTGAAAACTACTAGCGTAAACATTTTGTCCACTAGCGTATATAAGAGTCTGAACTACGTTCAAGGACTCTTAAATATAAGAAAGGTAGTTCTTATTTCACGGTGGTTCATAAATGACTTGATTACTGGCTTTTACTCTTTAACCCTTTTAGACAACAGTTACTAAAAAATCCTTTTTGAGAGAAAACAATATACACTATCCTCTATCAAAGTATCAACACTTGTTTTCAAGTTCATGCAATTATTCAGAGTACAAATCCAATTTTTTCCAACTTACCATCTGCAGTAATTTATAATAACAAGAAAAAAGCGAGATTAGAAAAATTGTCGCACTAAAAATGCACGCTATTGAATAAAAACATTCAGAAAAGTATCCAGCTTACTATCACAAATAGGCCAAAATACCCAAAAAACGCCCAACACATCCAAAACTTGCCTGAAGTTTGTCCAAAAGAGGCAGGATCAAAACAGGTGAAACCAACTTGAGTTCCATCTTTCATCACGATCCAAAAAAAATTAACTATAAGCTGAAAAATTAAAAGAACGCAACTTGCCTAAAATGTGAGGCTTATTTCTCCACGGAGTCGTGGTCTCCTCTATCTCCACGTGGTAGCCATACCTCTTTGCAATCGCCAAGTATGGCTTCATTTCTCTAATCGTCAAATTAGTATTGTCGATTATCAGGGGCGAGTGACCTTTATATGCATTTTGCATTACTCTAGTTCTGTTCCATAAGTGCGCTCTGCCAATCAGATCTTTTTTGTAGATATACTGTTGGCTGCTTTGGTCTACAAAATAGTCGTCTGCACTGAAAATTCCTCCGTTAGATTTCGGAAACTCGGTGTTCAAAATTTCTCGAGCTCGTGTGCTCTTTCCAGACCCAGGGAGACCCCGCATAATTATGATTAACTTTACTTGAGGGCCTATCAGCTCGCATTGCTTACTCAATATGTTTTTGGGATAGTAGCTCAGTAAAGGACCAGGGGAGTCGACCATTTTCCAAGATATTTTGTCTCTGATTTCACCATCTTCTATACTTTCGTTGAGGACATTGCTAGAGATCATAGCCGAAGATTGTTGTCTGCTTTGGCCGTTGATTTGGCTAGGCCCATCTAAAAGGAGAAAGACATATAGCTATATATTCCAGCTACCAAAAACCGGAACGATAAGTCTTAATTTGAGAAATATTCGGATAATTTTGGCCAAATCCAACTGAACAGATAATTATTTCAGAATGTTAATTAATTAAGCTTAAGGCGATTTAACCCCGAGGGAAATGACTAACATACTAGCTGTTCAGCTCCTTGCAAAAAAACAGCTGCTGTTCCTCGGGTTCAGTTGTAGATGCTATTTTAGGTAGGTATTTTCTGGGCTGGGTAATGTTGCCTGACCTTAAAACAACAAGCACTCATCATGTTCAACCACAAACCTTCTACCTTTCTTTTGACAAGTTGATATTTAGCCACCTCACAAAGCCCAGACTAAAAAAGCAAAGAAAAATTTGACAACAAACTCATTACCAAACTTAACCATTGCCAATTACTCTTTAACTATCTTTAACTAGCATTTTGGCCTTGTTTCACCAGCGTAACATACTTTGTTCTTGTAATTATTTTGGACTATTTAAAAAAGCCTTAAACCATCTCTGGCGCAATAAACTGCTGTTTTTTTAAAATTAAACTCCACGTAAGTTAGCTTATCGAATGCCGCATTGAAATACTGCTATTGGAGAGTGAAATTCGAGCTCCACTGGGTGCAAAATGTTAAAAAGCAAGCTTTACATAGAGGCGAAGCTTCGATTCGCAAACACTAGCGAGAACACGACAAAAAGCAGATCTATAAAGTGAAATAAACAAAAGTATAAATAGGCCTCGAATTAATCAACTAGCAAAAAATAAAGCAGAGAACAGATGCTATGAAATTTCCAATACTACAGATTGTGATTATATCGAAAGCCACCAAATAATAAAACACTTTTAAAGAACACTTTTATTTACGTGCTAGGTTCGAAAGAAGAAGGTTCGTACTAACACACTACACTCGTAAGCGTAAAAAATCAAAGCTAAAAATAAAAAAGATGATCGCGATAAATTTTGACGCTTCTCCCTGAAAACACACGTCATCTAATTATTTCAAAGTTCACATTACTGTTGAAAAATGAGAAGCAAAAGCTTTCGTGCTTGCTTTTTTCAGCAACCAGTTCTGAAATACAGTTTTGATACAGAACACATTCTATCAATATTCCGAACACTCACCGAAAGTTAATTGGAAACAATTGTTTAAAACTTTCGAAGCATTTTCTAACTATAGAAGGATAGTTGTTTGCTGTGCAAGTATCACAGAAATTCTGTTTAATTTTTTCTTGAAATTGTGTCGTTTTTCATTTGACCTTTAATGAGTGGATCTAAACGACGGCCAAAAACTTAGGTCAATTCAACATTTAAATACATTAGGTATTTTCGACAACAGCATTCCGCAATGAAAAAAAAACATTCAAAAAACTGTGCGAAAACTTTTTGCAGAAAAGCTATTTGAATTTTCACCAAAATTTTTTTCTGAAGAAGGCGCTAAAAATCGAAAACCAATTTCACTGGATTAAAACTAAAACTTTACGTCTCAACTTGAATTATAAGAATAAGACAATTATAAGCCTATGAGACCTGCTCGACCGAAATTAGACTAAAACTCAGAAAATTCAAACCGGTTTTTCTCAACACTGGTAAAGTTTTGAGCAAAACTTTTCAATTGGATCGAAATACGACTGATGGGGCTTTAATATGATATATCACTTAACCCCCTCCAAGCATTATTTGTGGAACCCCAGTTCTGCGCGGAAAACAAAAAAGAAAAAACTGAAACACACCCAAAGAAAAAGGTTCCAATCGCCGAAACAATATTATTAAGTATAGTAGCCCTGTAATAAACACAGTTTATTGATGTGTGATTTAAGTTGCTCTGTATAAAAAATATTTAAACCCACGGAAATCGAAGACTCGTCAATAGACGAAATTGAAACTCAGCCAACATATCGTTGGAAAAGTTAATGAAACTCACTTTGGATATCAAGTAGAATAAAATAGAAACAAACATAACCAATTGAGCGTTTACAGCAGGAGTAAAAATGACGTTCCGAAAACTCCCCAGAAATGCAAAGCGATAAAAAAACGGCTAAAAGTCTTTTTTAAAAAAGGCTCGACAGATTGCTGGTATGCTAAAACTATTTGGTAGAAAGGGGTACGTAAACAGTCATTCAGTACTAAGTGAGCCCGCCAAAATCATCCCTCACACAAGATTTTAATTAGCCAACAGTCGAATACTCCAATTTAGGTCTGATTAACAAAATAGTCAAACCCATTATTCTCTTCGAAAGAATATTTTTGGGGTATGTTTTGTCAAAATGAACTTAACAAGGTTTAAATAGAAACATATTAGTAACTTCAGCATTTTGTTAGCCAGACTACAGTAATTTCGACAAAATATTTCCTGTAGAATTCTCATCAGCTATATAAATTTCATGAATTTTCACAGAAAATTTAAAATAATTAGATAACCTAGTCAGAACCAAAAAAAACTGAAAGAATTCCAAAATTTCTTTTTCTTTTTGCCAAAAAATCCAAATTACATTTGAAATGTTAATTTTTAATTCAAACAAATCCCAATTTTTTAATCAGCGGGCTTTGTTTTTCTGCAAATCTCGGACAAAAATTAAGAAGCAAGGATGCTACAAAAGTTAGTTTTTTTGATTTGATCGAACTATATCCAGCTCTAAGAAAAATGAATTATGCGTTAATTTTTTTTTGCAAATCAAGCAATAGTCAAATGTTTCAAATGAATTTCGCTCTTTAAAAAATCAGATCTCAAATATTTCCTCCAATTGGACCATAAATTTAAAAAAAAACTTGTTGCGCCGGTTCTGTTTGACAATAAAACACTATTCCGACTAATCAACTTTTGAAAAAAAACTAAATGTTTTGGCAAAAGTAAAAAAATTATTTGCCAACAAAGTAACACTCTAATCCATATGAAAAAGACTAGAAAGAACTATTGTGCAGCCAAATATGTTTGCAACTTAAAAATCTTAAGCTTCAATGAGGCACTATATTACAGCGCTATAAGCCGTGATTGGGATTCTAAAAATAAAAAAGTTGTCTCAGTGTCATCAAAAACTGGTCTGAACTTTTTTTCGTTTTTCAGATTAAAAGACAGCTAAAAGACAGCTGGAAAATGATACTGGAAAAAAACACATACCGCCTGCCCAAGAGTCCACTTAAGTATTTCTACTTGGGTTATGGTTCTTTCACTCAATTTCACACTAGGCAGCAATGAATGCAGTCTAATTATGCGGAAACAGAGCTCAAGTTATTTGTTAAATAAAAACTTTTGGTACATGCAAAAAATGAACACAAAAATTTGCGACAAAAACACTAAACTGATCTCATAACACAAGCCCTGCTTGTTTTAGGAGCAAAATTACACATCTGGAAAAGGTAAGTTTCTGAAAAACCAATTTAAATATTAAAAGTGGATTTAAATTAATCACTAAACCTCATCGAGTATAAGGAGCAATCCTTCGAGGCATCTGAAATTGCTCAGAAAAGAAACACAGTTTTTGCAAGTTCGTTTCATGTTCATCACCACTTGCGTCGGAGCAACAAAAATGTCATTTCCTTAAGATTTCATTTTTCTAGCTCAACGCGGTTTCCAATTTTGACTCAATTTGTCAAAATACAATTATTACGCCAGACCAAAAATTAAAATAACTTCGTACACCGCAAATTTCGGTTCCATAACTTGCTTACGTTACTTATTTACTCTATGTGTTCAAAAAGCAAGCAAATTCCAATTCGACCCTCAAATAGTCAAAGACACGTCACTGAATAGCGAGATTCTTGAAATTAGAACCAAGAGAACATTTAATAAGTAGCTTTTAGAAATGAAATTCATCATTGAAGCTCATGAAAATTCCAAAGCTCGGAAATTGGACAAATTTTAAGATCTCACGAATGACACAAATTTTCAATCTGAACTAACAAAGACTTCCACAGATTCTAATAGTCCAATTCAAACAATATATTAGAAACTCAACGAAACAAAGCCAACCTAACTAATATAATGGAACTCTCCGTTGTATTTTCATATTTAATTTTACAAAATTGGGTTCATGAAATTAGTTCGACTACCCTTTTCACTTCAATCGACTGCAAATCTCGGGATCAAGAAATTACTACCGAAGCACCAAAACAAACATCGGAACCCCTTCTCACGTTCGATGTCCTTGTTGTCACGCCACCGGCGCCTGACTATTTCAGCATCGAGAATCAAATTCCAGGCCTATGTATGGCTCTCGTAACTAGTCGCGCTTACCGCGCTCATCCTCGATTTCAAGTCAGATTGTATAACTACCAAATAAAGTCGGACGCTTTGATCGACTTCGCACTTTTCAATGAATCTGTTCATGCTGAAGACCGAAATTTCATAGGCATATTGGGACCAGACCTCGACATCTTGAGCAACGTTCTAATAAGCTCCAACACCGCAAATGACCTTAGCTTCATTTCGTATTCTCAGACATCGAACTCTTACCGTGATTATATCAGAAACAATGGTAACGTTTTCAGAATAGCCGTGCCGTTAGAAGAACTAGCTCAAGCGTACGGCAAGATTTTTGAAATCTATAGCTGGAAACGTGCCGCTATTTTGTATCAAAGTAATTCTTTGTACATTCGACAAACAACTTTGGCTTTATACGACCAGCTGTCAACGGATGCTATTGATACTCACGTCACGAATGTTCACTTGTATTCGTCAGTCGGTGGTTTAGGTAACGCAACAAAAATTCTTGGACCGGAGGGTTTAGACCACCGCATTTTTGTCCTACTCTTAGAAGAGGAATCGGCAGCGCGAGTCGTTTGCGAGTTTTACAGACAAGGAATGTATGGCAAACAGTACGCTTTATTTGGGTTGTCATTTTGGGATCATCATATATGGGAAAGCTTTGAAACTAACTGCACGTATCAAGAACTCCTGGAAGTTCTCGACTACAGCTTCTACATAGCCATGAGTGGACTCGGGTGGAACGACAGTGGACTCATTGGCCCCGGGATTCCGAGGAGTGTATATCATCGAACTATTCAATATACAATACGTTCAGAGCATCCCGAAGACCAGATGACTCATGTTTACGACTCGGGTCTGGTTTCAGACGCTCTATGGAGTCTTTTAAAATCTACAGACAAGGCTCTCGATTCTCTTGAATCAGTACAAGCTAGTTCTGCGACTGAATCAACAACTCAAGCACCACCGAATGAGCAAGCTCTTCGGATTGAGATCTCGAAACAGCTGAAATTGGTATCATTCGCTGGAGCGTCCGGACCAGTTTCATTTGACAGTTCTGGAAAAAGAACTATTAGAGGCACCAACGGTGTCATATTTCAGAGAATAAACGGAGCTATAGAACTAGCAGTCAAATTTAAAATTCCTGAAACTATTATTGAAAACAACATTCAATTCGAAGAAGGTTACATTCCAAATACCAACCGCGAGTTTACTACTACAAATTTACAAGTTCTCGACTTTTTGGTAATAATTCCCGCATTCGTTGGCATCGTTTTCTGCATTGTGAGTGCAACTGTTTACATTGTTTTCAGAGACAAACCAGCTATAAAATTAATATCGCCAAAAATAAACGTTGTTTGCGCAATTGGTTCTTCGATATCTTTTTCGGCTATTCTGGGTCATATGCTTTGGAACATGAACCGACTGATAACCATTGACGGATCTGGCAGCTCTGAAAAATACTCTTGGGGCTGCATAGCGTACGACGTCCTTTTGAGGTTCGGTTACTTCGTGGCTTTTTCGTGTTTAGTTGCGAAACTCTACCGAGTTTATAAAATATTCGGAAACAACAAACCCAGGAAAAAAGTACCCACTGATTTACAACTCATGATCGGAATCTTAGTAGCGTCCGCATGTCAACTTATAACTAACACAGTTGCCAATATAATAAACCCTCCTAAACGGGATATTTTAAACGTCGAGGTCGCTGGTGGGGATGCATACTCCCACGTTTTTAGCGACTATTTTTTAATGTGTCAAAGGTCAAAGAGCTGGGTCAACTTCGTCGGGAACGTCATGGATACCACTCTTCTTCTATCAGCTATATACTTCTCGTGGATGACCCGGAAAGTGAAAGTAACTCTTATAAATGAGAGCCACAAAATAAGCGCTATGGTCGTGACTGTCGTAGTACTAGAGACGCTTCGATTTCTGACTAAACTGAGTTTCAACTCCAACAACTCAACTATGGGAAGTTACTTCACCGAAACTGAAGAGACCATCTTTATTCACTGGGTTATAATCGGCCAGGTATTTTTCCCAGGAATGCTTAGACTAATTCGAAAACCTAACTGGAAACCCACAACGTCAGTGCTTCCCATGAGTCTGAATACAAAAGCAGATATCAAACGCTGCATTGAAGATGTTGCTAATATTAATGGCCTCGAGCACCTGTTGAACTTACACGTGAAAACATTAGAAATGTGGTCTGAAATGAAAGCTCAAGACGAAGTTGTGAAGTATTTGCGAGGAAACTTCAGACGACGAAGCAATTCAGAGACGAATTTGCAAGAACTCCTCCACCGTCACACAAAAACTTCACGGGACACTGTAAGCAGTGAAATTCCCTAATTGCATATCAGACTAAGCGGATATCTTATACTACCCCCTCACCTCTTTCAATAAGTGGGGGTTGGGGATTTGTTACTGTGTACTAAATTCACATATGCTGAACCATTGAATTAGTTCCTTATAAGATGGGGGGAGGGGATTGTAAAAGAGTTCCGACGAAGCTTTAAATGTTGTTTTTTATTTCGGTTAACTTCGCATCTCAAGGCATCTGTATTGTTTATAGAGACATATTTATCAAAACAATATCTTTCCATAGTTTTCATTTTCCTAAGACAGACAATCAACAATCAATAGCAGAAAGGAAAACGGGGTTTCGTCGCTCCTAACTCATGCGTCTGCAATTCTACGGCTGCTATCGGTGGTTATAATCATAAACACAGCAAACAGCCATTTGGAAAAGCATTAACGAACTCAATGATAGCGAAAAACCGACCAAATTCAAACGAACAAAAAATCACACAACCAAAAACTTTCTCTTCAAATACATTACCATAAAATCCTTCGAAATTCAAGAATTTGCATGATTGGCCCAAAGTAACAAAACTTGATTGCAGAATTTCTTGGCTTTTCAATTCCCCTTTTCTTTTATACGGCCCAAAATTATCAAATTTTTAATTGAGCTTGTTTTTCAACGAAAATTCTTTAGCTGTAATTAGTTTCGACCAATCAGATTCGAGAATTATGATGCAAAAAATTTACAGATGAACAAAGATCAATTTTGGACCGTATAACATAAAATATTCGGGACTTGAACTAACTTGCTACAACTCCAAATCCGACATTACTCAAACTGTCATCTTCATCCCAATTCCCTTGACTAGCTCTATTATGTACAGATGACGTCACACATTGTCTAGGCACCGCTCCTAGCTCCCTCTGCAGGAACTCTTCCGTCAAATCGATTCTGCAGTTGTTGTTTTTGAACACTTGTTCTAGAATCTCCACTCCCAAATCGGGATACTTTCCGTTCAGAACTTGGATTGAGTGCGGCGTTTGTTGCGTTTCCTTCATATTCCTACTCATAGGCCAACGCGGCTTACAAATTGGTTCGGACGCCGAGCATGCCAAAATCTTGGAGGCTGTGATAACAATTTTTTGGGTGGTAACTAAATTTTTAATAAGACCTTTCAAAAAGCGTGCCAGCAGTTAAATGGTTTTCTATTACAAAATAAACATTCAATGAAATGCACACTACTTGCTCTAGTCATTTCAACGAAGACCAAGCATTTTAATATTGTTCGATTTTTCCAAAAACATGTTCACTCAGCTAACACTGCAAATAAGGACTGCAAAATACTGTCACTTATTTCCATCATGTGATCTGAAAATATTAATTAAATTATTAGGATTATTTCAGGATACAGAGCGATTATAGACGAAAATCAAAATGTGGCCAATTCTTTAAGTTTAAAAAGAAATTTCTATCAAATTATTTTCAGACCATTTCCACTATCGAATTGAAAAGGACATCGATTTTTCTTCCGACCATTTGAGAACGGGGAGGAACTTTGTATTCGGGTGTTTTAGTTTTTTTCTTTTTGTTTTCCACGCAAAATCAGGTACCACAAATAAGCATCGGAATGGGTCGAGTGATATATCATATTAAAGCCCTTTCAATCGTAATTCGAACGACATCAAAAAACTTCAAAAACTTTTTCAATGTCGAGAAAAACTACTCTAATTTCGAGCTAATATGGTGTGAGCATGCAGTCTTACAAACGCTTACTTTAAGCCGTTGTACTCAAATAAACGTAGTTTTTGGAGTTTTTTAGCGCCATTTTGTAAACAAAGATTAGAAATTCCAAAAAATTCTGCAAAAAATTTAGAAATTTAAAAATTTTTTTTTTCGTTTTTCTTCAAAAACTGTTTTCCGAATGGCGTTCTTACTATGACTGTCAAATATGCCGAAGTTCTTTTTTTCGTTCAGATCTTTTTATCACACTATGCAAAAAAAAACGGCACTAATTTGAAAAAGTATGTTTTGGCATTTTTCTAAGACTGTGGTCGGAACATTCTGTGCTATTTGCACAGTAACCGGCTATCCTTGTTTTGATTTGCCTCCGTCTACTGTCTCATCTACGTTTGGTCCGTTCATTCGAGGATTGAGTGGTTTGTAGATGTCATCAAATTCGCCGTAGTCGATGACAAGGCGGCTGCAACTAGTACTCCTACAACCCGTGACCCTAGTGGGATTCGAATCCACGACATTCGTGTTTAAGGCAGTTAATTTAACCGACACGACCACACCCATTCTGGCATGGAAAATATCGGTTCACTCAGTGTAGCAAAAGGACGTTCAAATTTATCACTGAGACTTAACTTAACGTCGTTTGGAGCGACACGTGTCTGCATTACTTACGTCACCTAATTAAAGCGCATACCCAGGGAACATTCAAAGCTTTTTTGACGGAGATGAAAACCTCGTCACCTTCATATCAAATTGTATCAGAAGTCCTTGATAATGAGAAATAGGCAATTATGTTCAACTAGCATACATTTCGCTTAGCATCTCCTTCGTTTCTATCAAAAAAGGATAGTTTATCATACTCATATTTCGATCGTGAAAAAGAGCAAATGAGCATAAAAGGCACATATTTAAGTACCACTATAATAACGGTAAATTACTTTTCTGTTGAACGAAACACTTTCGAAATACTTTTTAATTCGGCTATTTTATCTATGAATTAAAATATTTGTAAAAATTGCTAGGGAAAGGACTAGTATACGGCCTAGTTCAGCTTTTTGCAAAAAACCGCTGTTGTAACCCTGCTTAAGAACTAAATGCAAGTTTTTTTGGTGATTTTTCTGGGCTGGGTAATGTTGCCTCGCCCTTAAGCAACAAGCACGGATCATGGTAGGCCTCGAACATCTGACCTTCGTCAATTTTGGACAGTTTAAATAACGATGATTGGTTGAAAACTTTCACGCATTCGGACCTTCGCGCATCAGAATAGCCCCTCTTCATTTTTGTATTCTTCAGGTTTCAAAAATTTTTTTTGCAATGGATGTTCCGATTGTATATCACAAGAGGATTTAAAAATACGCAGGTTTTTTTTATGAAAAAAAAACATTTTTTCTTTGAGCTTCACGGTTGCTGAGAATTCGATTAATTTTCTGAGTCATTTTGAGCCTGGGCTCATTATGAGCGGTTGCTTATAAAAAAACTGGATGAACACATGTTAGATCCTATTGGAAACTCAATTTCAAGTTACTTCACAGAGCACTTTTGCACAGCAATTAATTTGATGCGGTTGAAAAAATCTGAACTCTAACCACCTACATAAAAAAACACAAATTTATTTTCGAAATTAACAACAAAAAAAACAAAATGAGATGTTAAAAGAAAAATCCGTTCATTATTAAATAACTCTAATTTTCAACGAGTGTGTTTACAGCACGGTGAAAGTATTTATGTTATAAGTTGTGAGCAGGGGCGGATCTAGGATTTTCTCGAGGGGGGGGGGGGGGGGGGGGGGGGGGGGTTCGGATTTAGAAAAATTTTAGGGTCGGTCCGCCAAAAATGGATTTCTGAAAAAGTATCAAAGGGGGGACCCTTTGGGTCGGCAGGGGGTCGAATCCCTGAGGGGGGGGGGCGTCCGCCCCTGGTTGTGAGGGTTTGAAAGTAGCCAAATTGAGGCTTTTTATCCGTTTATCTACATTTGATCATCTTGGAGCGTTGAAATGATCCCCCAGCTCAGAAACTGGCACAAGCAATTGGCCTCCAGAAATACATCAATTCGCTCAGTACTTGACTTGATAACGCGTGGAAAATCTTCATCCAGCTTGTTCAGCCAAGAAATATTCAAGACAAGTAAAAGAGGGCAGTCAGAACCAGAGTAGCGTCCCGCTTAAAGCGAAAAAGGCAAGAAAAGCGACCGTTTAAAGAGTGTGAGCAAAAGCGATTGCAAATTCTCCAAAAATTTAACAAAAACCAAGAAGCGATTTGAATTATCGAGCCCCAAAAAATTTACCAAAATGATCGCACGTAATAATTTTCGTCTGAAGAAAACGCCTAATGCATATAAATTCCATTGGGTTCTCCGAAAAACGGAAAAAAGTCTGTTCTGAGTTTTTTACCGATTGTAAAAAAAACTTCCACAGCAAATTATGCGATAAGTATTAAGCGAATAAGCGGTGCATTTAGATAAGCGAAAAAGCTATTTAAACAAAAAAGCGGCGATAGCGAACTTAAAAAGCGCTGACAAAATTCCAGTCAGCACCCATAAAGGCGTCGGACTAATACAAAAATTGATAATTGCACAAACCACTGTAAGACGGGTGACATTTCAAGTTCTGACCATAACAGGCGAATTAGATACTATGAAAAAAAGGAAAAAAATTAACTTAATATTCGCAAAACTGCAATTTTTTGAAAAATTTTCGCAAACCACACGTAAACGAAGCTGCACTTCAAAAACACAAGAAAAATGGCAAGCAGGAGGTTTAAAATGTGAAAAATTACAAAATAAGACAATACTGCTATTAACTTGGCAGTGCTAAAAATATCAGCATCAAAAACATAACCAATTTGTGGCACTAATTTATGCCAGTAGGATTGGAAAAAGTCACCAAGTAGAACAACACAAGGGTTGGCTTGTGCCATAAAAAAAGACAGAATACTTCAGCTAAAACTTCGTTAGCTGGCTAAAAATCGGTGAATGCAAATGAACAATAACTGAGCGACGCGAGGCTAGAATCCGGGAACAAAAACTGAACATTAGAGCATATTTATAAAATTTTTCTACCTTGTCCTTTTCCCCTGCGCTAAAGCTATCGAACTACCTACTACTCTCATGTCTTCAACCATTCGGTCACAAACGAATCATTCAGTCACGAATTATCAACAAAATCAAATACATCCAAGAGTTCTCGTATCAAGCCATATCTTCGAATCTTCGACATACTTTCGAATGTCGGAACAAAATTGAATTCTCTTTAATGAGCGGGGAGTGCGGTCTGTATCTAGACAACTGCGTATTCATACTCGTCAGTAAACAGACAAATGCCGTTTTAACCAATCAGAATCGAGACTAGCAAGCAATTTTACGAAATAAATAATTTTTATTTATTAATTTCTTCCTTGTCTTGATTCTGATTGGTTAATACATTATTTGTCTGCTTACTGACGAGTATGAATACTCGGTTCTCTAAATACTGCTACGTAACCGTTGAGCGGATATAGCTTGTGCTATTTAAATGGCCAATTAGTATTAAAGCCGTATACAAAGAATGTACGAGTTACAATCGAAAAAATTGGACTGGTACTAAAATACCTGTGTATGTGTTATGCAAACCCAAAAAAAAGTTTCTGCCTGATCGCTAGAAAATTGCTACCGCAAGGTCAACGATACCCCTAAACAATTTCAAAAATCATTTTTGCGATTTTATCTCAAGAGGATTCGAAAACACAGTTTTTTTATGAAAAAGAAACACTTAAAAGGTTTTTTCTTTGAGCTTCACGGTTGCTGAGAAGTCGAATAAATTTCTGAGTCAATTTGAGCTTGGGCTCTTCATGAGCGGTTGCTTATAAAAACTGGATGAACAACAGATGTTTGAAAATGATGGAAACTCAATTTCAATTTTTTTCATAGAGCACAACATTTGCACAGCAATTAACTTGATGAGATGCGGTTGAAAAAATCTATACTCTAACCACCTGCACAAAACACAAAATCCTTTTCAAAAACAACAACAAAAAAGATGTTAAAAAGAAGAAAAACCGTTCATTATTAAATGACTCCAATTATCAGCAAATGTGTTTACAGCACTGTGAAAGTAATTATGTTTTGAAGTTATCAGGGTTCGAAAGTAGCCAAATTGAGGCTTTTTATCCATTTATCTACATTGATCATCTTGTAGCGTTGAAATGATACCCCAGCCGAGAAATTGGCACAAGAAATTGATTTCCAGAAATACATCAATTCCTTCAGTACTTGACTTGATAACGCGTGGAAAATCTTCATCCAGCTTGTTCAGCCAAGAAATATTCAAGACAAGTAAAAGAGGGCAGTCAGAACCAGAGTAGCGTCCCGCTTAAAGCGAAAAAGGCAAGAAAAGCGGCCGATCAAAGAGTGTGAGAAAAAGCGATTGCAAATTCTCCAAAAAATTAACAAAAACCAAGATGCGATTTGAATTATCGAGCCCCAAAAAATTTACCAAAAATGATCGCACGTAATAATTTTCGTCTGAAGAAAACGCCTAATGCATATAAATTCCATTGGGTTCTCTGAAAAACGGAAAAATGTCTGTTCTGAGTTTTTTACTGATTGTAAGAAAAACTTCCACAGCAAACTATGCGATAAGTATTAAGCGAATAA